ACTATGCTCAGCTATTCAAAATGGACGAAAACATTAATAATTTAATTTAATGCTATTTTAACATTAGAAATACATAATGCTAGTCACACTATTGTCTGCTTCACCACATCTACAAACTGGTAGTAGCCAGCTAGTAATCAGGGTCTCCTGCCCCGTGTGCACATGTCACAAGAGACATGTATGTGTCAATCATACATGATGCCATGCACGCAACTGCTTACACAGAGGCAGTATTTGTGCAAGAAAGCTGCCAAGTGTGAAACGGCTCAAAAAGTTAGTTCTGTGGATAAATAAAGCAAAACACATTGTGCTATCAAGAGTGTGCATTATTATCCAAACAATATATTTTCCTTGCGAACTAGGCAATCAGCTGATAAGCTATGATTTAACATGCCATTTTAATTTTCTGCTAGGAAGCTGTCCCTATAGATACTAAATGAAAGTGTACTAAAGATTCGAATGAAGATGGTTCTGTCTCTGTATGAGATTTTTTTTTTTAAAAAAAAAAGATTAACAAATAGTGCATTCTTTTGGACAGAAAGAAGTCAATTTTCTATTTGCATTCTTCCGGTGGAAGAAGATTGGAAAAAGTTCAAAGAATATTTACAGAAATATTGTAAAATTGATGAATGTTAGAATGATGTTGGATAGAAATTAAGTGGTTTTTAGCTGTAATATTATAAGGGAATATGAAAAAATGGACTATTAATAGGTAAAAATTTAATGTTACAATACTTTAAGATTGAAGACTAGGATAAACAAAGAGGGGAGGGATTTGCTAAACTAACAATTGAAGTGGAATACAGAAAAGGGAGGCGTGAGGAGGTCTGGGAAACAAGCAAATGAAAGATAAGTGATTGAAAGACTGAATTGTTTTTAACTATTTTTATTTTGTATTTTTCTTTTTTCTTTTTCTATTTTGTAATATTTTGAAAATCCTAATAAATATCTTATAAAAAAAATAAAAAATAAAAAAGTACCTGGGGCATTGCTACTGTCTGTCTCTTACTAAGCTCTTCAGAATACTTGAGGATACCATGGTTTTGCTTTGATTAAGACTCTTCAAGCAGGGCTGGGGAATGTGTGGCCCTCCAGATGTTGTTGGAACTACAACTTCCATAATCACTGACTACTGGCCCTTCCAGTTGGGCTGATGGGACTTGGAGGACCACAAGTTTCCCATCCCTTTCTTAAATACAATTCAAACATATAGACAATTAGACTACAGCTGCTACTTAAGACAAGAGGAAAAACAAACATATGATCAAATATGAACCCCTAAAAGTCAGATTACTGGTTGGCCCTTTTAGCCCAGAGTTAGCCAATGTGGTCCTCTCCAGATGTTGTGGAACACAAGTCCTATCAGCTCCAGCTATCATGGCAGAGATGACTGGAAGTTGTACTTCACAACATCTGGAGGGCATCACACTGGTGACACCTGACCAGCATCTAACTCTCCAAGGCCTCCTAGAACATCTTGGGGTGGGGTGGCATTGGCCTACTGAGTGCAACGCACCCAAGAAAAGCAACACATATTTTTACTCTCAGAAATGTTTATCTGAAGACTTTGGAAGTTGGGGGTGGGGAGAGATATCTAGCATGAAATGAAATAGCCCCTAATTATTAAAGATGCTTCAGGCAGACTTTTACTACGAGTCTGAATAATTTCTAGGACATTCAGCGAGTAGTGTGTAGATCAGCATAAACGGCCACCGCAAATTACATGCTTGGGAAACTGCATCCCTCAGCTATCCTGAAAATAAGCATGAAAAGCTTGGTATGCAGAGGAAACATCACACAGAACTCAAGAGGTCGAGATAAATGGGAAGGCAACATATGTGATGAGCCACAGAGCTGAGACAGCAAAAGAAACAGAGCAAATCCCAACTCTGGTGCATTTCTCTCAATTTAACTTAATTTATCTAGGTCATAATGTAATTAAAAAAGCAACTGGAATATAAAAAGTCAATCCTGAAATAGCCACATATGACAGGGGTCAGCAAACTTTTTCAGCAGGGGGCCGGTCCACTGTCCCTCAGACCTTGTGGGGGCCAAGACTATATTTTGAAGAGAGAGAAAAATGAATGAATTCCTATGTCCCACAAATAACCCGGAGATGCATTTTAAATAAAAGGACACATTCTACTCATGTAAAAACACACTGATTTCGGGACAGTCGGCGGCCCGGATTTAGAAGGTGATTGGGCTGGATCCAGCCCCTGGGCCTTAGTTTGCCTACCCATGACATATGGCATATAAACTCTCCTTGATAAATATAATAAATTTAAATCCCCAAATTCCATCACCCAATTGAAGTTCAACCCTAAAAAGGAAGTCTAAACATATATATGAGAAGGAAATGGCTTTTTATGTAATGTAGTTGATAAATAAACTTCCACAGAGAAGCTTAGGTTAATCTGTTGGTGTAAAACCAGTAAAATATTGCAGTACCCTAAATACTGCCCCCTCCCCCACAAAGCAATTCAATATTATACAATAACAACCAAACATGGATGAAATCATATTGTCATATAATCTTTGATAATGTGCTTAACAATATTCTGCCAACTGGGTGACCTGTAGATGTTTTAGACTACAACTCCCACCACCCATGACAACTGGTTGTGCTGGCTGGGGCTGATGGGAACTGTAGTCAAAAACATCCAAAAACAGGCCTGTGAAGGCTGTTTTATGACACACACTGTTGAAGACTGCAAGACAGTAAGATTTCACTCAGACATCATAGAACCCTTCACAAAGCATTACACATCTTTCATTGTCACATTTGATTAATTTTATCATTTATTTATTTATTGAGTTTCTTAATCCGGCTATTTTAAAAAAATGATTGTATCTTTCTGCCAACTCAAAATCACTTTTCTATTATTTTCATATGTTCATCGTTCTGCCTTCTCTGGTTCAAAACAGATGGGTTATGTTTCAGGCACTTTATTGAGGACCAAAAATTTATTGCCAAATTCGCTCCGGTGGAATTTCTCCTTTTCCTACAACCGGGCAATTACAATACTGACAGCTATTAGGAGGTATTATACTTTCTAATTTTGTCAAGTGAGCAGCAGTCACCTGGTTGCCTTTTACAGCCAATAATGTCCATGTGTAGGTGGTGGCCTACCTTTTTAATCACATCATAGCATTATCTCCTGTGCCTTTCACTTTGCTCAGCATCAGAATTTTCCTATCCGCTGCTGCCAAAACTGTGTCCCAATTCCTCTCCAAAAGTATCTCTGGTATCATATATTTGAGGTGCTAGCTTGGGTGTTCCCCTGGGTCAGTGCCTCCTTAAGACTGAGGCTGAGGCCTAGAATCCATGAAATGAACATAATTTCCTAACAGGCCTCAGATATTTTGTTAATTACTATGCTGGTTCCAGGGTACAGGGCTACCTGCTTAGCTGAAACTGGCTGGAGGGGAGACCACCTAGGAACATTATGTATGCCACCGTAATATTCTACAATGGCCTTTTTAAATTTAAGAAATAATTCCTCAGTATGGGCAACCCTTTGCAGGTATTCTCAGCCTTAATCCACACTCAGAGACAACTGAAGGGCTGTGATGCCTCACTATCATAAAGAACGTCTACTTGATTCCACAAGAAGACAGAGAAATCATCAGGTGCATCTCAATGTCACTTTTAACCCCACCAGCAATTTTCTCAACATTTCCCCTCCCCTAGCATTCAATAAACCTTTCATAAAGCCAAGAATGACAAAAACTGGGCCTGATGTGCACTGTTAAACTGAACATTAAATTATAGGTGCTGCCATTTTGTGATGTGGCTCTCTCTGTGTTCATGCACATACGCATTAGTACTCAAGAAGACAGAATACATGATGCCTTAATAAAGTCTACAGTCCTCAGTCCAAAACTGTTCAGTATAGAAATGTTAAGTGCAAGCTCAACCATGGAAAATAAACACATTGGTACCTTGGGTTACAAACACTTTGCATTACAGACTCCACTAACCTGGAAGTAGTACCTCCGGTTAAGAACTGTACCTCAGGTTGAGAACAGAAATAGCGGTGCAGGGCGGCAGTGGGAGGCCCCATTAGCTACAGTGGTACCTCAGGTTAAGAACGGTTTCATGTTAAGAACGGACCTCCAGAACGAATTAAGTTCATAACCAGAGGTTCCACTGTAAATTTGCCTCTCTTTCAGTAATTCTGTCAATACATAATGCTCCTGCTCCAACAAACCATGGGTTGTGGCAATGGGAACTCACAACAAACTCAAGCACTCCCTCTTTCCTTTATGGCTTCAGCAAATATTTCCTGGTTTATTTCCTGTCTACAAACTTGGAGGGAGTTTTGTATGGAGCCTTTAAACTAGAGTTTCTGGGGTTGGATGTCAGAGAAGGAGGGAAGAGGGTGTGCTCAAGTTTATTGCTTGTTTCCATTGCACCAAACTATGGTTTGCTGGAGAACATTATGTCCGATCTGAGCCAGTACCTCAGGGTGGGTGAGCACACTTTTCTCTGGATTACTGTAGCAAAGTAAAGTATATTTTACCTGAACCTAAAGGATGAACCTCTGGTAAAGAGAACAGGTTTAGGCTTTGGTTTAGGCTCCTCAAATAATCTGAAGAAGGCATGGTGCTCTACACAGATCTTCCAAAAGGCTTTGCAAAAATCCCGACTGGCCATCAGGAATTCTAGGGTGTCCTGGAAGGAACTCTGAAAGATAATGGTGGGAGATTTAACACTGGAAGGAGAGTGAACATCGTCCAAGTGCAAATGTGGAAATTTCCCTCCACTTTCAACTACACCAACTTGTAAAAAAGGACATTTATATTGCATAAAATTAAAGCAAGCAATATCACTGATCCCTTTATTTTTAGGATTATTTATTTTACGAATGATATGGCTTTTGAATCTACTCAGCATCTACTATGCTTTTCTATATCATACAGTACCTAGACAGAAAAGGACCCTACTGAGAGGCTGAACTATAATTTTGTTATGTAGAATGTAAAACAAGGCAGGTGGTTAGCTCAATTGGTTAAGAGCGTGGTGCAAATAATGCCAAGGTCACAGGTTTGATCCCTGTAAGGGCCAGCTGCATATTCCTGCATTGTGGAGGATTAAACTAGATCATGATCAAGGTCCCTTCCAACCCTATGATTTTATGATAATGGAACGTAACTTTCCTGAAAAGTCATTATAATGGAATATTATGATGCCCTCCACCTATATCAACATGACTATGTTTCCCTAAAGTAATCATTTCTCTTGCTGACCCACTTCATCTGCCTCAAAGCATTTAATGCCAGCATCAAAACATTCATTTTGTGAATGCTACAAGAGAAGTGACAGGCAATATTTTAGAATGGTGAGAGCTTCCTAAGTAATCACAGCTGACTGGAAACAAGAATCTGCTGAACTGTCAGTTCCTGATATTCAAATCTAAGAGATAAGACACTAGCTTCCACTCATGTGGTAGGACTGTACCATTTTGGACCACAGGTTTGGGGGTGGGGGACTCCCATGACTAAACAATTCCTCCCACACAGAAAACTAGTTTTCAGAGTTCTAGCCAAGGCTTATTCAGAGTTCTAATTAAGGCTTATTTAAGTCCTCACCTGTAGTCTGAAGTGGCACAGCCCAAAATGCAGGTTTACCAGTTCAGTGAGAACTAGGACTAAGCCTAGTGAACAGAACAGAGTATTTGGAGGTAGTCAATTGTTACATTATTCCCTAGGGAGATCACCAAAATGGGAAACTGTAACATACACCGGAATCTGATAGGCAGAATTGGAGGCTGATATATAGTGACTTTCCAGGGCTTGACTTTCATAGCCAAGCTGAGATTTAAACCTGGATGTCATGGAGAGCAAGTAGAATCCCTACAATATAGAAATAACAATAATAATAATTTATTAATGTGTCCTTTTGTCCTTCTACGCTGGAGCGGCAATATTCTCTCATCTCACTTCCTACCTCTCCTCACCCTTCCCCCAATCCATTTTACCATCTTCACTGGCCCATTCCTTTTATATTTTACGGCCTCCCCCATGAATCCTCTTCTGAATTTACCATTGGTGGCTTATTTCCAAACCAGGGTACATTTTGTAAGAGGTACTACCGGCAACTGGTTTAATGGGGCAATCTGAGGGAAGAGGAACACCCAAGATCTGTTTGAGATGGAGGCAAGCTCAGCAGCTATGATTGGACTAGCACAGAAAAGGGGTGTCCCAAATGAAGTCAGCAGCGGTCAGGGTGGGAAAAACAAATGTTCATTTCCTATGTCACAGTTCAGAGCCCAGTGAATTAGGCAAAGTATAAGCTCACAACTTTATGCAGAGATAAAGGTGGTTTAAAGAATCCAGTATGAATAAGCTGAATGTAAATAATACATTTTATGCTTTCGTCAGGCATCTGCCACTTCAAATTGCCTTGCGCATTCCAGAGACTTACGTTTGCATCTGGCCTCAACTTAATAAGAAAACGCTTTCTCTTAAAGCTCAGTTTTCGAACTTTAGCCCAATTGAAGGCATTGATTTTGGTGTGACCCTAAATATGAAGAAGAACGGAAAAGAAAAGGTATGAATACATTTCTTCCCCCAAAACAGGCATTCATTCATCTGCAAAATTAATTTTCAAAACTAACAAAAGGTGCAGTTCACTACACTCAAACTATTTTAATTTAGTCTGCCTGCTTAGCTGCCTAAAACAAATAAGGCAATTCCGCTTTCAGTGGCACAATAAAGGAAACTGAATATAATGACCTATTTCCACTTTCTGCTCAACTAGGCAATTATCAGTGCCAGTCTAACTACCATAGAGTTAGGTACCTTAAAGCCTTAAAGCTACCTTAAGGCTTTAACATCCAATAACTATCTGCAAGAGAACTATCTGCAATGGGGCAACTGCCCTAGGGCTTCCCCATGGAAGAGGCCATCTCTACACTAGCAAACAGTTACTATAGGGTACTAGCAGACTGGATCTCACAAGATAGCAGCTATGAGCTGGTATCCTTCTCATTTGCAGTCTAGACTGAACTATGATTAGAGCTTCTCACCTGAAACACCAGAATGCCTGTATGGGCAACTGCCAGGTTTATCTTAGTTCCTTCCCTGTCCTTGGCTGGATGCAATCGGATTCCGTACATTTCCAAACGACGGGCAATCTCAAGCAGCTGGAAATCTGATTCTGCTGGTGTCTGTCCACTGAAGGAATGATAATTGATTTTACACAGGACAAAGAAGGTTTAAAAGAACCGTTAGAGCTTTTCACGGCAGATGTTGTTTCCTGCTCAGACTTGCATACAAAGTCACTGTGAAACAGACCCTAGCACCAATTTGATGGCTTGAAAGACCTAGTACAAATAAATTTCATATCTATTGCATGTCCTTGCATGCTTTGTGACTATCTGCTGGAGCAACAACTGGCACACTAGACTGTGACCGCTAATATTTTAAACACTCAAAGAGTAGTTTCAGGTGTACCAGTGAAGCAAAATGAAGACATGTAACCTTCTCACCCTTCCTGTTCCTCTACAACACAACTTTGTGCATCTTCTCAAACCTGGAATCTCCCAATTAGGAAATGAACCATTTCCCAATGGTGATAAACAAGATTTCCCATTGGCAATTGAATACGATTTTGTAGTTGATGTTATAAATAAATTCTCTCCCCCCCGCCCCCGCAAAAGGTGATGAGTTTATACTATACCCAAACACCTCTGTGAACTCCCAGGAAAAAGTTTTGACCTACACAAGTAGTTAAAACAACACAAAAGGTTTTGCGTGGCTCTATTCACAAACTGGATAAATAAATGTAAAACAAAAGAAGAAACGAGTAAGCTGAGGAAAAACAGAGACTCGCCTTCTTTCCTTTGTGTCCTACTCCAGAGCCTAGTTTTTGTGCTTTCTACTACACAGGTACTTATACATCAAACGTTATCTTTCTCCCTTTAATTTTTCATCCATCCCCAAAACCACTTCTGCAATGCCTTATTGGAACGCAAAACTTCCATTCTTTCTGCTGTTTGTTATCACCTCTGCCCTCTTTCTCTACTCTGTTATGAAGCCCTGTCTTCTCCTCAAACCTTTCTGCTGGTTTTCTTAGATTATAAATCTGAAGGACAAAAGTCCTGCTTAATAAGACAACAGCACTAAGAATGCCATTACTTAAGCATTGAATAGTAATACTTACATGTGATTACGATGAAATTCCATGATTTTGTCTTCTAATGCTTCTTGCTGAGGTATATACTTGTTCTTTGCTAAGTGTTCACGATCAATGGTTTCATCAAAATCCCCAATCTCAGCTAGGGAGAGGGGGGAAAAGTGCACTCAAATAGGTGAAATGTATGAGGCAGTCTATTCCAATGCAGGTTTATTTATCAGTAAGCTCTACTGAGTTCAATAGGATGCACTCTTAAGTTGTATGGATGCTTATTTTCGAGGTGGAACGAACAGAAAATCCTGAAAGATGCAGTGAGCGGTGAATAACAGAGCACTGTACTTGTGGTCCTGAACATTTCACGCAAAGGACTGAAAACAGGGAGGAAGGATACTGAGCTGTAGGGTCTGCTGTCAATTAGCAAGGATCCATTGGGATCAAACCACAGAAGTGAGATTTCTGAGGGTTCAGCAAATTACACAATCTCCTCTTGAAAACATGCAGCATTTTCCAGCGTATCACAAAGCATGCTGTTCTTTACAGCTGCTTTTCTCAAAAGGCCTGTTTTTCTTCTGTTACAGGACTTCTGTGGGAATAGTAGATGGCAATGTGATGCCCAAAGTAGAAAATCCAGAGGGTGACACCCCAAACAGTGGTTAAACTATGATAATAAATGAAAGAATTGATAATTGGATGCCTTGTGACAACAGCCCAACTTCTGCAGCCTCACCCTGTCCGCTGGTCTGCATTTCTATCCCTAACAGTTTCATCTTACTCAGATGACACATATGAGACAGGACAGGGAAGATTTGGCACAGTAGATGATAACTAGTTAGAGATACTCTGGAGAGAAAATGCACTGAGAAATGCAGAAACTTTGATGAAGAAAACTAGTGGCATGTGGCTCTCACTGTAGTTCTCTTTCAGGCATTTTTGCTGGCACATGTCACATTTATACTAATGAGGAAAGATGTGTATAAGGTTCTAGTCACACATAGGAGAGCACAGAAAACCACACGCAGGCCCATCAAAACCATATGAAGGTAAACACAACAGAAAATGCCTCACAACAGATACCACCATGAATTAGCTGCTAATCTAGCAGACAAATTATGAAGGGCAAATTCTGCCTGCGCTAACTGAAAGTGAATACTCTAAATCCCACCAGGTGTGTGTGTGATATCTACGTGTGTGTGTGTGTGTTATTTATTAATCCCATTTCCATTATACACATTCCAGTGGCAAAGAATATTGAAAGAAACAAGCAAATAGCAATTCCTTCCTGCTTCCATTTTCGCCACAGTATTTTGAAACAAGCTGAAGAAAATGGATGCCACTCAGATACTAGCTCAGTGCATCTTTGTGAACATACATCTATGATACGGCAACTGACCTTAATCTATTGAAAATGTATTCATAAGTCAGTATTCTACCTGGGGAACAAGCACCTTATTCTTCAAAATGCAGGAAGGGTTTGGAGATGAGCAAGTTTTACTTACACTGTACGATGTGTGAGATCAAGAGAGCAGCACTGGTGTCGTTACAGGTTAGTCTCCCTTGTGCTAAATCCTGCTTTACCTGCAGTGCAAATAAGTACCTGAAAACACAAAAAGAAAAAGCAGTGGAGGAATGAAGAAGGCTTCCATGGAGTGGCAAGGACATCTGTGAAATCGAAATGTTAACAAGGGGAGATTTAGCAACGATCCCTTCCACTTTGCAAACGAGATAACTGCAAAATAATGTAGTGGTTGTACAGTCTTCATTGAATTAATTCTTACCTTTGGAATTATGGGTGTCTGAAACATAAACACACTCTGGATTTCCTGAACTTGCAACTAGTAAAACAACAATTGTCAGCGAAGGGTAGTGGTTGGATTAGGGCCTGGAGTCAAATCTCCATTTAGTTATGACATTCACAGGGCGACTTCAGG